CGCGAGGGCTACTCCAAGTACAACAAGATCTACGAGATGTCGGTTCACCACAACTCGTTGGGCGACTGCCAGATGTCCTTCACCTCAGTGTCCGGACATCTCTTCAACTATGACTTCTACGAAGACAAGAGGAAGTGGTGGTCATGTGAACCGAAACAGCTGTTCACTGCACCCATACTACAGACATGTAGTGATCAGAATAAGTACATCAAAAACACTCTGGAGAGAGAGGCCAAGAGGTGCTCCGTTTTGATCATTTGGACCGATTGTGACCGCGAGGGCGAGAACATCGGCTTTGAGGTGATAACCGTCTGTCGAGCAGCCAATCCACGGATGAATATATTTCGCGCGCACTTCTCGGAGATCACAATCCCGTCCATCACTCGCGCCTTCAATGCACTCATTCAGCCCAATAAGAAGGTGTCGGACGCTGTGGACGTCCGCCAGAAGCTGGACCTCCGATTGGGCGCCGCTTTCACGCGATTCCTGACTCTAGAGCTGCAAAAACTTGTGCCGAATCTGAAAGACATGTACAAACTGGTGAGCTATGGCTCGTGTCAGTTCCCAACCCTCGGCTTCGTTGTCGACCGTTTCAAAGCGCGCGAGAACTTTGTGCCGCAGAAGTTCTGGTCTATTGATGTCCACTACACGAAGGATAATATGAATGCGTGTTTCAATTGGAAGAGAGTGCGAGTGTTTTGCGAACAGAGCTGTTTGGCCGTCATGTCTAAAGTGATGGACAGTCCGGAGGCGGTGGTCACTCACATCAATACGAAACGGCGGACCAAATGGCGCCCACAGCCCATGGATACGGTGACCTTCGAGCGGTCCGTCTCATCCAAGCTTAAGATCAACGCTAAGAGAGCGATGACTGTGGCGGAGAAGCTCTATACGAGTGGTTTCATTAGTTACCCGCGAACTGAAACCAACAAATTTCCACCGGAACTCAATTTAGTGAGTTATTGTCAAATGCAAACCGCGAGTCCTATTTGGGGTCAATTCGCGCAACGAGTGCTCACCAACGGACCCAACCCTCGCAATGGCACTAAGAGTGACCAGGCACATCCGCCCATACATCCCACTAAATACGCGCCTAACCTGAACGGCGAGGAGAAACGTATTTATGAGTTGATTGTCCGCCACTTCTTGGCCACTCTGGACAAAGACGCCGTCGGATATGAGACCGCAATCGAGATCTCTATTAACGAAGAGTTATTTGCTTTGAATGGTCTGAGAGTTGAAGAGAAGAATTATTTGGAAATCTATACATACGATAAGTGGACGGACAAAGACATCCCACAATTCAATCAAAACGAACGCTTTATTCCCGACTCTATTCTTATGACTGACGGCCAGACGACTGCACCGGAACTCCTAACTGAGGCTCAATTGATAGCTTTAATGGAGAAGCACGGCATCGGAACGGACGCCACACACGCCGAACACATCGAGAAAGTAAAGGACAGGAAATATATCGTTGAGACACCGGACAGACGACTCAAACCCGAAGGACTGGGCATAGGTTTAGTGGACGGTTACGAAGAGATCGGTTACCAAATGTCAAAACCGCATCTGAGGGCAGCCCTCGAGAAGGACCTCAAAGCCATTTGCGATGGCATTAAAAATCCAGAAGAAGTTCTTAATTATCAGATTAAAGAATACGAAAAGGTTTTCAATGAATCGCTGAGACATAAAAACAAATTGTTTGAAGTAGTCGTCCGAAAAATATAATTATTATGAATCACTTGTTTAATAAATATTGTAATTATTATTTTTAATATTGTTTAATAATTTGTTTATAAATATTTTATTATTCAAACTATTTATCTTGAATTCGATACGAGTTTTATAACTTATAAAATGTATTTCACATCAAATGTTTGGTTATTATTCATCACTCGTTTGAAAAAAAGGTTTTTTTATTAAAAGTTTTTTAAATTTTGGATGAATTATGAGTTAAACTTGAATTGAGTTAAGACTGAAAGCAAAAAATTTAATTTAAATTTGAATTTTGTTTTTGTGAAACACTTTAGTATTTGATAATTCAATCGATTCATTAATAATAGAAGTGTTTTCTTATTCACGCCTTTGAAAGCAATAAAAGCGAATAAATTATTGGTTATAAAAGTTTTACTCAAATTAATTGTTACGAAAAGCCTTTAAATGCTTTATAACAATAAATCTTTTATTTAATTTGAAGCTTAGACTCGATTTGAATCAAAGATAATAAAAGAGCACAAAATACGACAATTCTTAAGAAAAGTTCGCAAATCTATTCATTTAACCAAAAATAAGATATAATTCGGTCGTAAATATAGAATAACTTGTTTTTTGATGTAATTCTTGCGATCAATAAATGATTTCTAAACCAAATCTCTATTCGAGTAAATAATTTGAATCTCTTGTTAAGAAAGACAAAAATGCAGCAAAAAATAGTTAAACCCTTTATGTCTGTCATTCAAAGATTCAAATGACAGACTTTTTTATGACTTAACTTTATTTTCATCGACAAACTGGTGATAATTGTGAGCACATGTATGTTCAAAGCGGTGGTGTTGTGCCAATCAATTGAGAGACACCTGAAACGCCTGAAGCCATGTATAACTCACAAGTTTACTACTTATGTATCAATGAATTCAAGAATTATTGAATTAGAATTCTTAATGTATTTATCATATTATAGTTATTTGTTATTAAAATTTACTATACATGTAGAACATGTAGTACTTTGTGGTATTCATTTTAATCTTGTTAAATTATAATAAGTATATATAAACCAATAAATATATTTGATATAATATGGATTAAAATGTAACTGAGATTTAGAGTGTCGGTATTTTTTTATATAAAATTTTATTTCAAAAAATGGTTTTAAAACTCTTCTTTTGATGTTTTCTGTTAGCAATTAATTGCTTGAATTTCGTTTATCTCTGTCTTTGAGGCTTAAAATGTGTGAAATGAATGGTTTCTTCCCATTAGTTGCCAAACAGTAAGTTATATGAACTCTAAATCTATCGGAAACGGTGCACCGGTTCATGACTTGGGACTTAAACTAATGGCAATCCAATCCGAATCGTTTGAATGCAATTATAGTGTAGTTTTGAATATGAGATACATTATAAGATAGAGTCTTGTGTTGAATATAATAAACTTTTGGTGAGTGAGTGCTGTTTGTCATACCAGTGAACAAGGAATTTGAAGCAGTTTGAATGCAATTATAGTGTAGTTTTGAATATGAGATACATTATAAGATAGAGTCTTGTGTTGAATATAATAAACTTTTGGTGAGTGAGTGCTGTTTGTCATACCAGTGAACAAGGAATTTGAAGCAGTTTTCGCAGTGTTGGGTAGTTTGGGAAGTTTGGGTAGTTTTTGGCTGCTCGGCCCCACGCAGTCTGAGAAGTGCAGCATTGCCTCAATTGTATGGTACGACTGGTTGACAGTGCAGGCACTGGTAGGTTCTGTTGGCACTTCACAGCGGGTCATATGACGGGTGTTTGCGCTAACATTCTTGTGCTTTACAACACCCTATGCCCTGTAATGCGATCCGAGCGGTACTGTTGTAACAAAATCTAAGGACACTCCCAATTGGGTACCTCTTCGTCATTGTCCCCTATCGTTGTCAACGCAATGGTCGTGCACTCCATTCACTGGCAATGGCTTGTACTGCACACCTGTTTTCTCAATGTATGAAATTTGTTTGAGTCTTACAAACACGGCTACCATTCCATACATTCTGCCACTTCTTCTCCACTAAACACCAATAAAAGAGCAAAAATCAAAGAATGTCTGACTTTTAATCAAAAAAGTTTTTCATTAAA